TAGGTACACATATTATGGAAGGCAGTGGTAAAATGTTAGTTTTAGCTGTTGGTGAACATAGTCAAACAGGAATGATATTGAAGTTACTATGTACAACCAAAGAACAAAACAATGATAAAAAGAAAACAAATAATAAGAAAAAACAAAGTATGACATGTAGATTTTATTTTTATTTTTAAATGATTCCTTCACTTGTCTCTGATACATATTCAGATACTACTGCCGATGCAGATGTTAATCAATGTCTAGTAAAATCAGAATCGGCTGAAGGTATTCTTCTTTATTTTAATATCATTAATTCTATATTAATATTAATATGGTAATTACTACTAAATCATTCATTAAAAATACTTCTTGCTTATCGTTTTATTTTTTTGATAATGTTAAGAGAAAAATTCTTTTTTTTTTGCGTTAGATGCAACTACATCACAAAATGTTGTGCTTGATAATGTTAATCCCACAAGTAATGAGGATGATCTTGACTGTGTTAAAATAGAAAAACACTCAATTTTACATACACAATTAAGAAAATTAGGTACTCAAATTGAATATGCAGGTAAAATTTTTTCAAATAGATTTCATATAAATCACTATTTTATTTCTTTCTATAACTATCTTTGAAATTATAAGATTTTCTTTCGAGATAATTAATTCTATTTTTGATCTATGTTTAATACAAGAAAAATCTTTTTATTTTTATTTTTCTTCTAGGAATAGCAATTGTTATTTTAACTGTACTTGTTCTATTGGTTTCATTTTCAATTGAACAAGTAATTCAACAGTAAAAGAAAAATTTTTTCTTTTTGTTTTTCATCAATGTACTATTCAAATATTTTCTATAGACATGAATGGGATTATAAATACTGGACTCGAATTGTAGGATATTTAATCACTTGTATAATAGTATTCGTCCTTGCTGTACCTGTAGATTTATCATCAGCTATAACATTATCATTAACATATGTGGCTAAAGTAAGTTAAATAATTTCAAATTTTAATTATTTTTGTTTTTTTTTTTCTTCTATTAGAAAATGATGAATGATAATAATTTAGTTCGCCATTTGGATGCATGTGAAACAGTTGGTAATATAACGACAATATTTTCTAATAAAACAGAAATATTAACAATGAATCATATGACTGTTGTGCAAATTTATGTTGGTGAAAAATATTGGAAAAATATTGAAAATTCAATTAAAACTAAAGAAATTATTATACCAGCTAATACAAAAGAAATTTTATTTGAAAGTGTATCTGTTAATAGTAGTTATTCTTCAATATTATTAGTAAGTTAATATT